TGTTAGTTAGGAGGAAGAGTGTGCATATTTACTTAAAAGGTGACCGTATCCAAAACTTTTTTTTAAACTTAATATTATTATACTATACTCACTATATGTAGTCTTTTTTTTTAGGAGACGTGAAATGACTAAAGCTCAATCACGAAGCCAACGCGTTGTTGATGTTGTTCCATAAAGAAACTATGTAACACTTTGTATATATTTATATAATTATATATATTTAGAGCTTTTGTAATTTGTGCTTTGTGTAGTATGTAAATATTCAGTTTTTATATAATTTTAGAGCTTTTGTATGTAATTTATATTACAATACTCAATCAACATGATTTTTTCTTTACAAAAAATATCTATCTACATAAGAAAGTAAATAGGATTATATATCACCTGCTATACACGTTCATTGAATAAATCAAGAATTACTAGCATTATTATTTTATTAACTTAAAAAAAACAAAATATAATTATATCTCATCTTATCATAAAATCTATCAAACCAAGGTTATCAACATTAAAAAGTTTGTTACACTAACTTCTCTAAACTTCTATATACAATTACGTATATAATAACATTAAGAACAGAGAGAGAAAAAAATTGGCCATGAAAAAAAAATTAAAAAATAAAAAGCTACTTTGACAAAAGTAGTTTAAAGATAACCGTATATGCTAATATTTAGCTGTAAAAAAGAAAAAGAACATAACTACAAAATTTTATATTTACATTTAACAAAACTGTCCATAAAAAAAACATAGCACGTACAATATAACTTGGGACAATTTTTTAATTACAAAAATAAATTTTAGCCATGGATATTTATAAATTAATAAAAATATAATTATAATTTAAAATTTATCACATAAACTACCCACGTTCAATTTACAATTATCAACAATCCCTAATTATTTGCCACTATTGTTATTCACTTTATTTATTCATTATTTTTTTAAAAACAAAACTACCCACCTATTTTTTCGTGTTTTTTAATATACAATTCTCTCAATATTAAAAAAATAAGAAAAAAAATTTAAGTTTAAAGATAGCCGTATATGCTAATTTTTAGTTGTAAAAAAGAAAAAAAATATAACTACATTTTACTTTTACATTTATCAAAACTGTCACAAAAAAAAATAGCACGTAACTTTTTTATTTCTTTTTTTTTGTATAAAATAAAAACATATCACAAGATTTAGCATTTTTATACTCCGTACGTTAAAACTTTTCTACATTAACTTGGGACAATTTTTTTAATAATAAAATCTTATAGCCATGGAATTTTATAAATTAATAAAATATAAAATATATTTTAAATTTATCACATAAATTACCCATGTTCAATATACAATTATCAACAATCCCTAATTATTTGCCAATATTGTTATCCACTTTATTTATTTATTATTTTTAAAAAACAAAACTACTCAATTCTTTTTTTTTGTTTTTTAATATACAATGCTCTGAATATTAAAAAATAATAAGAAAAAAAGGAAAAAAAAAAACTACTTTGTCAGTAGTTTAAAGATAACCGTATATACTAAATTTTTTGATGTAAAAAAGAAAAAAAATAATTACATTTTTTTTTAAATTTATCAAAACTGTCACGAAAAAAAAAAAAACCCAAAGCACGTAACTTTTTTTATTTCTTTTTTTTTTGATAAAATAAAACCATATCACAAGATTTAGCATTTTTATTGGAATTCAATACCAAGGTGTTTAATTAGGATGGTGGTTGATTTCTTTTCAAAAAATCATCATAAAGGTTTGCGCTAATCGATGCTTGATCAGTTGAGTTGGTTGATTACCAATTTTTCGTTAGGTTTCTTTTGGGTTTGGTTTTTGTTGATCATGCAGTTGCTTATTCGGTGTTGAATAGTCAGTGATCAAGTTGCCTGAATAAAAAGGTTTGGGTTATCAATTGAGGTGTGACCTGTCGTTCTGATTGATTGCCAATTTTTTAGAATTTGATTATTGACGGTTGAATTATTGTTGATTTCGTTTCCGAATATCATCAGGGTTTGCGAGATTGGTGTTTTATCTCCTCTATAGCTGTTTTGCTTTGCCGTTTTTTAATATACAATTCTCTCAATATTTTTTTTTACCTATCCACTTCTCTCCAAACATAAATTATCTTCAATCTTTACTATTTGTAATTGTTCATTTACTATACTAACATATCCTATCTTTAAAAAAAAATTATTTCATATAATTAGAAACCATTAACCACAGTTGCCATGCCTTCAATCGAGTAATCATCTTATCCTTCTTCGTTCAAGTTGTCTTCTATTTTATTTTTTAAATAAAACAAGAGTAGTCGCCTGCTTTATTTTATTTTCGTATAATTTATTATCATAATATTGGTTGAATTTGCAGGGATTGTTGATTGTTTGACTATGGTGCACATAAATAATTCTCCTTTATTCGAACTCAAGTAGGATTGCATATATTCACGAACGTTCATTTTTGTGCACAACTGACATTATCCTTACAAAGGTAAACCATTTACTGCAATTCTAGATTAATTTACTTATTAAACAAGTTACAAATAGTTTATAGAATTTTCATACACCTTAGTAAATTAATTAACTATGAAACAATTCAAATAAGAATGCACGAACACCAACAAAACATTAGAAACATCCAATACTAAATTTTTACAATACACTCCATTCTTTACCTAAAAGTTGCTCAGTTATTATAGTAGCACTCCTACTCTGCCACAACTAGAAAAAAGTGATGAGAAGATGATAGAGATAACACAAATATGGGGTATGATAAAGGGTTAAACAATGAATACGGAATATTTGGCAAAATGTGATGGGACCAACTAGAATATAATTGACTGTAAGACTAGGAATTATTTCTCGGGGGAGTAGAGAGAGTCACAAAAGTCAATAACGTAAAAGGGATAAGTGAAAAATGACCAATTAAATTAGTTAACATCTGGAGATAAATCTAATAACACGGAATAAATAGTACAATGCAACATAATTGGGGACTGCATGAAATGAACCATTAAGACGTTATGAAAGTACTGTTGTTTAGACACAAAAGAAGTACCTTCTCATGACTTTTTTTTTTCCTCCCAAAAGGTTTATAAAAATCCAAATTGCCAAAAATAACATACAATAAGGAATCAAAGTCAAACTCAGTATAACATGGTCTTCTATTAAAATTCATCGAAATGATAAATTCTATTTTCTTTTTTTATCTATTTATAACCTTAGCAAAAAACATTTACCTGCATTTTTCCAACCATCAACCTCATATAAATATACCAACAAACAAACATTGCTGAATTAAAATAACCAACATTGCTATATTAAATTGTTCACTCTACACAATTTAGATTTCTATATCATGCACCTTTTTTATAGCATTTCGTTACTATAATTTAATTTACATTATTTACTTTTACTTATAAATTTTTATGTTAATAGGTATGGAAAATCATATGTCATCTACGTCATACTATCGAAATTTGACACTGAGAAGGATGACAGCGGAACAACTAGAACAAGAACGTATTGCCCGAAATACTCGAAGGCGGACTACTTATAATTTAAGGAGGAATGCTCGACAACAAGCCGGTTCTTCTACTTATAATTTAAGGAGAAATGCTCGACAACAAACCGGTTCTTCTACTCTATCGGATATTACTAATCAAGACATCACAATTGGCAACTACACTGTTTCAAATCGTGCTTCAAGTTGCACACGTGAGTTGAGTAATACTACGTTTATAGCCTTCTTGACATTGTTTTTGTAATTAAATACGCTATTGTCCTTTTATATGACATCAATATGTGTTGATTACAATTTTAACAGCATATATAATTGTTTATTATATAGTAATCCATTTGTATAACATCAAGAAATATATATTTTTACAATTTTGGTATAAATTGGTTAACTTATGCCTTACAAAATTAGTTTTCTACTATTTTATGGAAAACATTATAATGTGCGTACTAAAAAAATCGCATTACTAATTATAATTATATTAAAAATTATCAGCTATATCACATAATGATTTTTTACAAAAAAACATTGGCCCATTTACCCTTAAACGGTTTGAAAATTATGGTTACGGCAATTTACACATGGTCTTTCATTACCAAAATAATTCTCTTTATGATTTGCAAATAGAGCATGCATCATATCATGTGAAACCATTGGCATTACATTAATATCAACCAAGTAACCAATAGTAAATTAATATTTTTGTAAATAGTAAAGATATATGAATAGTTAATGAAGTATAATAATATATAAAAAAAATTGTCTACACTAATTCAATATATAGTTAAAACATAAGATACGAAGTGAAATATAACAAAATACACTGTAACATTTAATGAGCTATGTTGCTCTTGATTATGCAGCACATTTTGATTCTTAAGCATCAAATGGTCTAAGATCCAAATTTTTGTTTTGCAAGATGAACAAAAATACATTAACTTAGTAAGAAGCTTGATAAAGTTAAATATAAAAATCATGTGACATGTTGTTTTTTATCATCAAACATACTAAATAAATTTAATTCATAATCCAGCAATTCAAAATGGTCAAAATGTCATATCGCACAATTCTACATGTTTTGGTCAACGAAGTAACCGAGGTGGTAGTACAAGTTTTGGCCACAATGACATTCAAGAGGTCTTAGGTCCTAATTTCATGCATAGCAACAATGTTCAAAGAAATAGAGAAAGAGTATGTCATCGTTATGCAATAAAGTTTCATGAGCAAAGAGGAGTCCCGACCGTTCAATTATCACCTCCGAGAACATGTACATTTTGCCAAGCTCGCCTTTTTCATAATGAAACATCCCAAATATGTTGTTTGTCTGGGAGGATTACCTTTCCAACCTTACCTGTTTCTGAAGATCTACGTTCTTTATATAATGATCAAACACCTATTGGATTGCATTTTAAGCGTGATATCAGAAAAATTAATCACTTATTTGCTTTAACATCCATGGGAGTGCACTTAGATGAGAGCTTAGCAAATGCTCAACACTGGAGTATATACTTTTCGAGCTCAAGGTTCTATATATCATAAGATAGGCAAACTACTCCCATCTACATCGGAATCTCGGCCACAATTCCTTCAGTTGTACATATATGACACTGAGCACGAGGTTAAGAATCGTCTTGCAGAGAATATCACATTACGACAAGATATTGTAAAACGAGTTAAAGCCATTCTTGATCAATGCAATCCTTTTGTTCATAATCTTCGAAGTTTGGCTCAGCAAGAAAACGTACAAGATTGTGCCCTCCGTATTAATGAACAACCATCAGACCGACCGCAATATTGTCTTCCTACTGCTTCTCATGCGGTTGTCATTGTCGGTGGAGAAGAAGTTGCAAACTTAAATCTAAGGGATATTTTAGTTCAATCAACTTCGGGGCAATTAATGACTGTGTTGGATACTGCTGGATACTATGATCCTCTTCAGTATCCATTACTCTTTCCATATGGTTCCTATGGATGGTCGATAAATAGTCTCGATAATAATGGAAGAACCATACCTTGCCGAGCATTCTATGCCTATATCATTCAAGTAAAGTACACCCCACTCACATATTATCACATGGATATATATATTCTTTTATCATATTTCAATGGTATTTTATTGATTATAGGTACGACAATGTGTCATATCCATCATCTTAATGGCTGGGCGCTTATTTCAACAATTCATTATTGACATGTTTGTGAAAATTGAGGCAAATAAGCTAAGGTGGATTCGAGATAATCAAAATACAATTAGAGCTGAATTGTATCAAGGACTTCAAGATTGTTTAGATGTCGGAGAACTCAATCCAGGTTCTTTTCTTAAATATTTTGTTTGCCTTTAATTTTAATTTTACTATTATTATGTATATAAAATAATGAATGGTACATTGTAATTATAGTGAATGCCGGAAAATCAACCATTCTACCTTCTTCGTTTGTCGGGTGTCCAAGAGACATGAATCAAAGATTTCAAGATGCAATGGCATTAGTTACACATTATGGAAAACCAGAACTCTTTTTGACAATGACATGCAACCCATCGTGGAGAGAAATTGTAGACGAGTTATTGCCAGGTTAAACAGCACAAGATCGTCCCGACTTCATCAGCAGAATATTCCATGCAAAATTTGAGGAATTCAAGATAGACGTTGTAGAAAAAGGCGCTCTTGGGAAGGTTATTGCCTATGTCTATGTCATTGAGTTTCAAAAAAGAGGCTTGCCACATGTTCACATGCTGCTCATTTTGGATGAAATAGATAAACCAAAATCTCCGGAAGAGTATGACACATTTGTGAGAGCCGAGATACCTGATAGAGATGAAGAACCACGATTATACGATGCTGTTTTGAAGCATATGATCCATAATCCGTGTGGTGAAGGTCGTCGAAATTCTACTTACATGGAAAATGGGGTTTGTAAACGTAAATTTCCTAAACCCTTTGTAGTAAGCACAGTCCAAGGCAAGAACTCATATCTTATTTATCGTCGTCGTGTGTGATCGTCCTCCAGTACCTTTACATGAGAATAGTGCAACCTTCGTTGATAATGGTTGGGTTGTTCCATATAATTCATGGTTGCTACTAAAATATGATTGTCATATCAACGTAGAGATCTGTAGTAGCATCAAGAGCGTCAAATATTTGTACAAGTACGTGCATAAGGGTGTAGATCGTGTTTCAATGGAAGTTCCAGCAGGGGCTGAATACAATGAGATTCAACAATATGTGGATGTTAGGTGGGTATGTGCACCTGAAGCCTTATGGAGGATATATCAGTTTCCCATTACTCGATTGTGTCCATCTGTTGATCGATTACAACTACATTTGCAAGATTGACAAATGGTTAGATTCAGTACAAATCAATCTATTGAAGATATCCTTCAAATGCCACAAAACTCTCGAACTATGCTCATAGAGTTCTTCAAGATGAATTTCTTAGATCCAGAGGCAAGAACATACCTATATAGAGAATTTCCTCAACGTTATCGATAGTTGACGACTACAAAAACATGGAGAAAAAGGATGAGTACACAAAGAGTGATAGGTAGAATCTATACAGCCTCACCAATGGAAGGAGAAAGATTTTTCTTACGTTTGTTGTTCGATAAAGGCCCTGAATCATTTGAGCATCTACGAACTGTCAATGGAATTGTTTGTTCTACTTTTAGAGAAGCAGCTGAAAAACTAGGTCTTATGGAGAATGATGCAAGCATTCGTGATTGTTTGCATGAAGCATCAAACTCTAAAATGCCATCTTCATTAAGAAGATTGTTTGTCACATTGTTTGTTTATTGTCAACCAATGGGGTTCGATCTCTATGGGATGAATTTTATCATTACATGGCTGAAGACTACTTATATTCAACTTCAATAAATCCAGATCTGGTACGTGATTCAGTTCTCTATGACATCAATCGCATGTTAAAACAATTAGGAAAGAGTGTCAATGACTTCGACTTACCTAAAATAAACATGCGATTGGATGGAAACGCACAAGTAGCTAGAGCCATACATGATGAATTATCAGCACCAGTGCCCCCTAAAGATGTGCATTGTGCTGAGCATCTTAATGACGACCAACGCTCTTCATTTGATATCATTATCGAAGCTATTGATGTAGAGAATGGTCGAATTTTCTTTATAGATGGTCCAAGTGGGACAGGTAAGACTTATCTATATCGAGCCATACTTGCAACAGTCAAGCTTAGAGGGAAATATAAATTACCAGTAGCCAGCTCAGGTATTGCTGCCACACTTTTCCATCGAGGAAAAACCGCTCATAAAACTCTTGGTATTCCGGTTACGCTGCATGCTTCGTCAACTTGGAAGTTTAGTAAACAAGATGTAAAGACACAATTGGTCAAGTATGCGGCTGTCATAATATGGGATGAAGCAACAATGACTCATCGACATGAGTATGAAGCAATTAATCGTAGTTTAAGAGATCTAACAGGGGTTTATGTTCCATTTGGTGGCAAGGTCGTAGTGTTTGGTGGAGATTTTAGACAAATTTTACCCGTTGTACCAAAAGGAACAAAGGCTCAAACTATAGTTGCGTGTTTGGTCAGGTCAACACTATGGACACATGTTCAGCTACTTCATCTCACTCAGAATATGAGATCAATACATGATCCGGAATTTGCAACCTTTCTTTTAAGAGTTGGAGATGGATGTGAGCCTATAGTTGATGAAGACATGATAAAGTTACCATCTTCAATATGTGTAGGAAATGGTGATCAAATTTCAGTTGATAATCTAATCCGTCAAATATTCCCAAACCTAACTAAGCACGTAGGTGATGTGTTCTACATGGTACAAAGAGCTATTATAACTCCAACAAATGACGAAGTTGACATGCTGAATGAGAAGATACTTAAAGAGTTTGCCGGAGAAGAAAAAACCTTTTACTCCTTTGACTCTGTTCCAGAAGATCGTCAAAATCTCTATCAACAGGAGTTCTTGAATTCATTATCGTTTAGTGGTTTTCCACCACATATTCTTAAGTTAAAAGTTGGCTCGCCAATCATGCTTCTGAGAAATATTAATACAAGCAGTGGATTGTGTAATGGGACAAGGTTAATATGTAGTCGGTTAAGGGATCATGTGATTGAGGCTGAAATTTGAACGGAAGTCATAAAGGGACACAAGTGTTCATTCCACGTATGCCTTTAAAAACGGCTAAAGATGTGAAGTTGCCATTTGAAATGATCCGAAAACAATTTCCGGTGAAATTGTGTTTTACTTTGACCATAAACAAATCGCAAGGGCAAACCATTCCTCATGTTGGTATATATCTCCCCCAACATGTATTTAGCCATGGACAGTTATATGTTGCACTATCGAGTGGGACCTCACAAGAAACAACCAGAGTTTTGGTTAGCAAAAGAGATACTCGAGGTAGATATGGTGTATTTACAAAAAACGTAGTTTACAAAGAAGTGCTCCTGCCTCATTTGCCACAACCCTAATTATCAAGTATTATTATAAATATTATACATGCATTGGTAACTTCCGATAGTCATAATTCGTAATTTTCTATATTATACATGCATACAGAGCTTCTTAAGTCATAAATATCTATGAAATGACTTCTTTATCCTCTTATCAGGGAGCAAGATGAGGGTGATAAAAGTCAACAACTAAGCATCAAAAGTGCATGGAAGCAAAAACATCTCATGCTATTCTTGAGGATATTTGTTTTTATGTTTTTAATATTGTAATTTTATTACAACATTATCTCCAAGTATATGTAGTATATGTACAATTTGTATGCGTAAACAATTTCGACTCTTGATATTCATAAAATATCATGTATATATTTCATATTTTGTGCATATCTTAGCTTGTTAAGGTAATTAGACTAGTAGGAAGGTGGTGAGATAGGGAGAGAAACATCTAAAACACTACTTAAAACAATTAACAAGATATTAGGGAAAGGGGAATCCAATTACATTAATGAATTCAATAACAAGTCGCAATTAGATGATCATGATCTCAATTAGGAACGATTAACACACTCAACTCACTCCCGCGCAATTAAGCTTGCTAATTATCCTACTAAGCTAATTCACTCCCGCGCAACTAGCCTAGCGAGGGTATGGAAGAATCTACACTCTCAAACAACTCACTTTCACACAATTGATTGAAAGCACAATTAAGAACCAAGAATCGATTAGCTAAAAAGATTCTAGTCCATGTAAGCATCATCCAAACACAATAATCAAGAGTCAATTGCATACTAATCACAACCAATCACTCAATTCATCAACCTAACCTTCATCCATTTCCCTAGAACAAAAACTAAGCAAACATAATGAAGATGAAAATAGAAAACAAGATAAAACTGAATTAAAGCAAGAACCAAACAACCAAACTAATTAACTACTCTTATCAATAATGAATTAAACCAAAACAAGAATTAAACAAAGAAATAAAGGTGAGAGAAAGTTAGAAAAGCTCATTGAATAGACGAGAAGAGAATCCACAAAGTTGCTTCTTCAACCTCCCAAATCTCCATTGCAAACCAAGCTTTCTCTCAAACTACTCCTAAACTAGAGAGAGAAACTCCTAATCTAAGCCTAATCCTAATGAGAGGAGAGAGGAAATGTAAACTTCCCTTGGGGAAGTCTAAGACGTCCTCTATATATATTACAAGAAGAGAAAGAAAGAAATCCGGAATTTAGGCTCGAAAAAGACCCAGAAAACCGCGCCTGCAGTGGACTGAGCCGCGCCCGCGGTAAGGCTTCTCCGAGGTATCTCCAGAAAAGTGCAATAGTTAGGAAGAAAAGAGGGTCGCGCCCGCGCCCGCGGCGGCTGCGCATCCTGGCAGCATCTTTCTGATTCAAATGGCCATAACTTCTTTTCTTGGAAAGCTCTTGGGATGTTCAACCTATCGTTGGAAATCTCTTCAAGTCTTGTTTCCACCTCAATTTGAATCGCCTCAATCTGATAAGTAGATCAAACGTTATGGCTTAAAGAGTGAACAAGACTCGTTTTAAAGCCTTCTACGAGCTTCAAGCTTTCTTGTCTCAAGCTTCTTAGCTTCTTTCTTAGCTTCAAGCTTCTTCTATTAAATTTTCTGGCCTTTTCTCGGGTCATAATTATCGAAGAAAGCGTCAAGCACTACAAAAATAGACCAAGAGAGAAAAGAGTGAAAGGACACATAGAAAAACATGCAAATCAAGCTACAAACCGAGCAAAAAGCATATTATTCACAACTAAGGCCTAAAACCATAAAATAAGACAAAGATAATTAAAAAAAGAATAAAAGGAATATAAATAACAAAGAAACATCAAAATAAACCTAAAACTAATGGAGAAAAACGCCCTAATAAGTGTCAGAAATGCCAATTATCAGTCTTATCCACGCATTGAAATTTGTCACTTTTAGGCGAGAATAAAACAATTCCAAGATCCCAAAAATCAGAAAGTGATTAAGCATGCATTGGCTTGTCTTAACACTTAATATTTTAGGGTAAGAAATCCAATTGCAATAGCTCTAAGCTACTCTTGGCTCGATAAAATGTTGCATCTAATGCTTTCTTGACATTTTATCTCCATTGCCACGACATCTAAGGTCTCCTTACTGATATCGTTGAGCTTAACTAAGACCAAATTGTATACCTGGTGTAGGTCATTCCCCAACAGATTTCATCTTTCCTTAGTCCATTTATATGCGCCTTACTTTTGCAACTAATATCATTTACTCAAATCAGAATCCACACAACTAATTATGTCTCCATGCACTATCCTTCATATCCTTATAATGCATTAAAATGTCCTCAATGAACTAAAATAAATTTATCCCAAACTGACCTTACTCAACTCAAATTCGTAACGATGCAAATAAAATTGCCAACCCAAAAGCTTAGTATTAAACTCAACTCATTGTGTCAATTAATGCCCATCCTCAAACTAAAAACTATCATTGTCTTTCTCCATTTATCAACCAATTGATCGTCCTTTGTAGAAATATTTTTTTTTCTTTAATATCATCTTATTTAAATCCTTTCAAGTACCACACAACCTCTTAATTCCATCCCTCTTTTCTGCACACCTATACAAGTGCTCCCCAAAGCGATGTAACTTCTTTTTCACAATTCCTCACCACTATACTTTTCAACTCCCTAGTTTTCATAAATGATAAAACATTACCCTTTTGTCGTATACCATTTTTTATACATAACCAATAATCATTCAAAACGTTTTATATTATTAAATTAAATTGCTTCCATAAAAATTTAAACCAATCACAATCCTCCCTTTAATACTTTGTATCAACCATTTTGTGACTCACCACAATCGATGCAATTGCATAACCATTCTATACCCAACATTATATCAAAATCTCCTCAATTAAATTAACATTAGCTTTCTCTCGATCTTAATATGTCCACTATCCTTATTTAAATCATCCCAAATCTCAAAGACTTTCCCCCAATGACTTCATTCGTAGCTTCTTAGTCACTCCCCTTCTAAGCTTAGCTTGTCTATTAACCCTGACTTCCTTAATAGACACCACTTGATTAAGTGTACTTTAAACTCCAATTGATATCCTTGTTAAAGACAATTCCCTCATTTCCAAATTCATTATAACTTTTATATCTTTTCCTATAATCAAACATGGACAAGCAACCGTTTCTTAAGTTGCTGCCTTAAACATTTTCCAATTAGAATTGGGCTTGATTTTCACGGCTTCAAAGTTCATTCATTCATTCTATTGCCCTTTCTTCCTTATATTACCATTCATATATAGGTTCCTTAGACATTTTGATGTCCCCATTTAAACTCATTACCTCAAAAGCCAACTTTCAAGACACTAGGAAAGATGATCTCTTCTCCACATAAGTTTTGCATTATTGCACTACTTTCATACACACATCAATTACAAGATCCTTGGTGGTTAAGAAATCCATCCTCTGCCAACCATTGAGCCACAGTGGCTAATTGTTCAATTAACTCATTTAAATTATTTCCGATCTTGGAATTCCCATGCCACCACACTTCACCACGATGACCAAAATAGTAACCAAAAGTTGGGCCAAAATACTTTATTTCATTCTAATTACTAACACCAACCAACCCAATAAAGAAACAATCAACAATTAATTCGAATTAAAGTCTGAGGAAACATATATTTGTATTCTCATTCTTAATATTTGAAACATATACTTTGATTGATAAACAACCAAAGAGTTCATTAGTTGAACAAATTAAAAAAATAATAAAATTCCCTTAAATCACTACCCAAGAAAGGAAGGAATAAAGATGATAGCACTTGATAAAATGAATAAATGTCGTGTTTGAATCACTCAAAGAAATAGGTATGTAATCACACAAAACTTCTCCAAGAACTGCAACATTGCTACATGATATATCCCCTTATAACAATGAAAGAATGATAACCATCCTCAAAACTCAAAATAAAAATTGAATAATCTATTCTCATTACTCAAAATTAATTAAATAATTACTTCTCAATACTTCCAATGTAATATCTTTTATTAAGCTTTCATGAAAGCCCTCCAAAAAATAGAAAATCTTGCATTAGTAAAACAATTCTCAACAACTCTCTATAAATAAAATTGATCAAGATCTCCATGTAGTTATAATTCACATTATTTATCACCTTAAAACGAATATCCATAGGATTAGGAATACTCCATCATTAACTTTATAACTTTAAACTTCAATTCTCATCTTAATCATATCATATGTTCCTTTTATCATCATGTCCATTAGAAATCAACATTCACTCCAAAAATCCTTCAATAATACTAATCCTCTTGGTTATAATCAACTCTACACTCATCCTAATTTGGTATCTCATTAGACAAGTGAAATCAAAATACTCTTTTTTGAGAACTAGGTATTCAACCACCACCACAATCCTAACTGCCAAAGTGATTAGGTTGATTCCAACATTTCTCCAAAGCACTAGCTAATATGGAATAGAGGAAATTTGATGGTAAGCCTAACTATTAAATGGGCTCTCATGCTCCTTAATCTCCACTAAAGATACTCATTTAAGAAAGCTCATTAGGTAAAACATTAGGAAATCTGCAAGAGAATGGATATGGTTCACTCTAGGATAACCCTTCCCACAACAAGAGAATACAATTCTT